ATTTATGTAATAGGCTTGCATTTAAGATGAACATTTACCATAAATTAAAGGTATCTTATAGTATTAGACATGTTATTATAAATCATGCTCTAGTTAAGGAGTTATCGATACTTCAAGTGCAAAATGATGATATAAAACCTTGATAAAAATATATTTTTAAGTACAAATCAACTCAACACCCTCTTATTGGGCAACACTAAAAAGCTTTATGAAGGTTTTCTTAGCGGGTATTATGGTGATAAAACGTGCCACTAGCTTAGCACACAGGTCACTAAAACCTTTAATAGAGTTTGATTTCAGGTTGTTATACTAAACATGTGCAGATGCTCTGAAGGTTGTAGGGAATATCTTGCTCATTAAGTCATGATCTTGGATGATTAATTCTAAGCTACTGTGTATATTTTGCACATGCTCCCCTAGATTTGTTAAGCCATCATAATTGTCCAAACTCATTTTTATGGAAAAGTAGTCCTCAAGGAGTCGAGTGTTAATAGATGTTTGGATAAGGAGAAACCCTTCATTGATGGGGGCTTTAAACATTCCTCTAGGAGTGCTCATGCACAAAATAGCTCTTATCTTTTTATTTTTTGGGCTCTTAGAAGTTTAAAGGGCTTGGTATAAAAAGATGATTACAATGATCTATCTTTATCCCATAGTAACTAAAGGAAGTGTGTTTAGAGTATTTTTTTTTCTATACATGAGAATGACAATAGTAGGAGTAATCCCTTGAAGAACTTTCATAAATGTTATTCTATTTAATCTCTTTTAGGTAGTGTAATCGCCTATAAGCTTCATGTGCAACTAATGGTCCTAGTGCTAAAGCATTGTGTATTGTTGAGGGTATTAAGACTTACTAGGATGCTAAGGTTTGATGTTGCCCTCAAGTTGTCAACATGGCCTAAGTGAGGAGTTGCACCTAATTAGTGAGTTGTTGAAGCTCTTGCTGGATAAGAGTGTTTATGGTAAAAAGTTGAGTTGTCCTCTTTTTTAGCCCTAGTGGGCATTGGTTGTGTGACATAAAATACTCTAGAAATACTAAAAACAAGTTTTAGAAATAAATTAATGGCTTCCCATATATGGCGTCATTAATGAAGTCCTAAGAATCCAACTAGTCTAAGAATAGGGCTCCCGACTTGGATAATCGGTTAATCAATTGATCCTAACAATCTCAACCATTCTCCCTAGTAAATGTAGTTGATAACTTGGTGTTTAGCAGGCCATGGTAACTTATAACTAGTACTTGTAAAATGTCCTATTTATATGGACACTCTCCAATGTTTAAATAAGTACATTTTTAGAGAGAGAAAATACAAGAATATTCTAGAAAGAGATGCTCTGAAAATATATATGCAGTAGAGAATGAAGATTGTGAACCTTTATTTTTAAGGTCTTATGGTGTTTTTACAATCCATGATTCTTTTCATTCTATATAGAAAAAGGATTGGAGGGTAACTTAATCTTCATGATATTTTGAATTGCATTGTGAGTTGTATTTCACTCATTTTATCTACCTAAAAAAATCTTCATGATATTTTGAATTGCATTGTGTCACTCATTTTATCTACCTAAAAGATTATGAGTTATAAGATATTTAAGAACCCACATGGCTGGGTTTGGCACACTATTAAGTCCTCGAGGTTGGGCATGCTCATTCCTTTGGACGTAACCAAAAAAAGAGGGTTTTAAGAGTTTTTTAGGCTTGTTAAAATTAGGTTTATCATATATATAAATACAAATAAGTGGCCACATGCAAGTTAAGATCACAAAATAATATGAATACACAGATAAAAAGATTCGAACTTTAAACCTTGCTTTAGCAATAACAAGTCATAAAATGAAAGTGAAATTAAAAAAATATATATATGAAAAACAACAAGGGATATGTATTCATTATTGATATTTGATTGTGCGACCATAGATACAAACAGACATCTTCAAATTTCTTTTGAGTAAAAGCCCTGTTTGGTTTTGTAAGAAAAAAAAATCAATCAAAAGAGATATTGTCGAGTTTTCAAATATCATACATGTAATAGAAATAATAAATCAAAATTATTTGGGAGTCTCCACTATCTTATTAGATAGATTTAGAGTTGTTTAAGGATTTTTCACTTGAAGTTCTTATCTTCTTCGACTTTGAATAATTTTTCAAAGGATGGGTTGTCTCAATCCAAAAATAGTCCAATTGTTCGGCTTCCAATGATAATCCACATAAACTACAAGTGAGAAATCTTATAAATCTCTATTTAGTAGATACATATTTTTATGCCTAAAGTTTTAACTCTTTATTTTGTAACTTATGTTTTTTTTTTTTGTCTAACAAGCAATCTCTTAAAAAATAAAAAAGCATAGCTTTATATTTATAGAAAAACCCTATAAATAAATAAAAAAATATCTATTTATCTGTTAAATAATATCCATATATTATTTAAGGATAATTTTAAAAATTTAATCAATTATATCTCTACTTGATTATTCTAGAACTAGAATTATAATCCCTGAATTAAATACATTTTAGTGCTTAATTTATAAAATTATTTTCAATCAAGTCACACTTAATTAATTATCCTAGTTTAATTTCTAACTAATGCTCTTTAATGTGTATGACCCATTAGATTCCTAATATGTTGGCCCAAATATAAATTATACTTTTAAACAAATAGAATTAAACAAATCAAACAATTTAATTTATTATCAATTCAATAATTAATTAATTTATATTTGAAGATTAAGTGTATCATTTAACAACGTCTCATGATCCCCTAAATATTTGAAAAATCATAAGTGGTTTGACTTAACTTTTCAGTGATCGGTTTCTCAGTGTAATTATTATCCATTCATCAATAATATTTTGATTTAGATATTTTAGTATGAAGTATGTCTACCATGTCAAATCATATTGGTTCGCTATATTATAGTCATTGATCCTTTATACAAGATTTGAAAATCTTTTCAAATTTTATTCTACCTTGCACAAGGATTTAATAATCGATATTATTTTAGAACATATAAATATTATATCTAATGTCTATCAATTTGTTACTTTCATCAAGATAACATGTAATATGATCAAAATATAACATATTCTTTATATAAGATAACTTAGTAATCTAAAGTCTAACAATCACTTACATAACCGTCATGTGAGTCTTTCTATGGACACATATGATATCTCTATATGTAATTCTCATACAAGTCAATTTAATGTATGTGTTGTATAACATGCACCTACATATTAATTCTAGGTATTCCTTATACCTTAACTCATGAGAATATATGTTTCCTTTCATAAAGGAAATAACATAATATGTATCAGTCATTGCAACTATAATGAATGTTTAGTACTTAAGAGAATATCAATTATGAACATTTTAAAAATAATGCTATAATGCAATAAAATCTCATAATTGTAACAACTTTATAGTTTCTTTTATAAAATATTTTTTTCTTATAAACTTTATTTTTATTCTAGATTGATAAATCAAATATTAGATTTATTAATCTAATATTATATAAATATTAAAGATAAAATAAATTTTTATTAATGATAAATATATATTTATATTAATATAATAATATCATGTATATGACTAATAGATTACATGACCTGCTAAACTAAAAACTACCAGCTACATCAATGCACACACATATAAGCGACAGAGATAGAGAGATAAACGGGGCGGCAGAAGACAAACGAGGATCTGCAGGAGGTGAAGCGAGAATTACCCGTGTTTCTGGGAAATTATTTGCAGTTAAACAGGTACTTATTTATAATGTTTTTGTCTCTATACTGTGTGCTTGCTGTTTAGGCTGCTGGTTTTTCCACATACGTGCACATGTTCTATATAGTAATGTTATAATTACCTCTTCTTTTTTTCTTTTTAATTTTGTGATATTTTATTAAGAAAAATGATAAATTTAACCCAAACACAAACGGAAAATTAAATGGTTAAATTTACATGTATTATATTCATGCTGTCATGTTTTGGATCATGTGAAGGGTTGCTTTTGCTTATTTTTAATATTGCAGCTATACTGTTAATATTAATATTAATATCAATGAACCTATATTTGTAACAAGAAGATATATATATCCATTTTATTTTTTTAAATTTGTAACCATTTATAAGTATAATTAGTAATAGTCAAGCTTTTTTAAAAATGTAGTTATAGTTATTTTTTAAAATATTTTTCACCTAAAAAAATATTTCGTTATAGTTATTTTTTAAAATATTTTTCATCTAAAAAAATATTTCAATAATTTTTTTATTTTTTAAAAATTATTTTTGAGATCATTACTTCAAAATAATTTAAAAATATCTAAAATATATTAATTTAAAAAAAAATTCAAATATTTTTTAAAATATTTTTGAAACGCAATGTCAAACATATAAAAATCATATTTTTAAACTGTTTTTCACGTAGAAAAAATATATAAATAATTTTTTTATTTTTTAAAAATTATTTTTAAAGTCATCATTTCAAAATGATTTAAAAATATAAAAAATATATTAATTTAAAAAAAAATTCAAATATTTTTTAAAATATTTTTGAAATGCAATACCAAACACAAACACACATAATTATATTTTTAATAACTTTGTTCTTGTATATTTTTTTTTAGATTCTAGAAACAATTTATCAAAATTTTGTATTCTTTAATTTCGGATTTATTATGTTCTTTATTAATAAAAGAAAAATTATTCAACTTGTGAGTTGATAAGAATATATTTTAAGTCCTCGCAGATTCAGGTTTGAGGTTCGGATTCTATGTATTTAATTATACATGCAAAGGAAAAAATAAAGAAAAAGAAATAAATGCTTGAAGATAAAGCAGTTATATAGAGGGTGAAATTAATAAATTTGAAAACTACACGAGGTAACTCAATCTTCACCCAACCTTTATGGGGCTAAAAGATAATTTACCAAAACATAGTTGAAAGAAATAGAAAATAGAAAAAGAAAGTCATAAACCCAAAACATAAACGAGTTTTCTCCACAGCAAAATTTCAATTTATTAATTTCCAAATGACAGCAAAACAGAAACAAAATTTTGCCAAGGAGAAAACCCATTTATGCTTCTTCTTCTTCTACTCACCCTGAACTTCGATCTGTAAGTTTCATTTCTTTATTTTGATTATAGTATTTCTTAATATATATATGTTACTTTATGAAACAGATAAAACGAGGTGCTTGTGCTTCTTCTTGTAGTAGTAGTAGTGAAGGATGGCGAGACCGTGGGTACTGGTCTCTTTGCTATTGTTAATTGTGTTCACGTCTCAGTTAGAGTGGAAACAACAATTTGGTAATGAAATTGAAGCAAGTCCAAACATTTCCTTGAAAGACCAACAACAACAATTTAGTTTGAATCGAGAAGAAGTTGTCAAAGAAAAGGTTAGTTTTTTTATTCCTTTTCTTTTTTGAATTAAATTTGGTGTATTCTTTGTAGTGTTTTATATGTTTATGAAACCAGAAAAGGTAAAAAGGGAAAGACCCAGTTGTTTTTTCTGAACGTGAGAATTGAAGATTTTGTTCCGTGCATTTATACAAGGATTTGGTCAAGTGGAATTGATGATTATCCTTGGTCCAGTGTTGGGGAGAGGAAGAGGTGGGAAAACAAATTGGGCTTTCTTTTTCTTTTTGGTTCTTTCACGTGGATGTATTAGAATCAGTGCTGAAGATAATTACTTTGTGCTTTGTTGCATTCTGGTAATTGGAAGAGTGTCAAACAGAATCTGTTGCTTTTCTTGTCCTTCAAACCCAATTGTTGGTAAACTGAGTTCCCTTTTCGGATTGGCGTAATTCAACACCTTCTAGAGCGGAAAATGTTTCGTATATAAACATACCATTTTGTTAATTGAAGCTTGCTGGGCTAGCTAAGTGTTATATAGCTATTACTGTTATAAAAAAGATTGATTGCATGCTTTCTTAGGGACTTTGTATCGCCTTGACTTACAAAATTTCGTGCTTATGCAATCATTGTCACAATCAATAATTTGAGCATTGATTCACGTCAAACTAAAATCAAAATGGCTAAAAGTAATGGCAAAGTTGGGCTTATAAAAACATTTCAAGAGGCCAAATTTTTTCTGCTGAATATGTGCTGGCTTTGTATCGTAGCCAGTAGCATCTTTTTGAATGTCATGCAGGTAACAAGAGGCAGTCATCTTTTCTAGTATTGCATCTGTTGATTCTGTCTTCTTCCATTTCTGATAGTCTGCACGGTTACCTCCTTGCTAAATCCATATAATCCCACAGTAACATTTGCTTATGCATCCATTTCTTCTCTTGGGCTGTGAATGTCAACTAGGTTTCAACATGGATCAACTCCAACACAGGCTGGGATTCCAGATATATCAATGTTTTGCTGATTTTAATTGGAGTTTTGTAGATCTTCAAACAGTCATTGCTATTGTTGTTTTTGTTCTGTTCCTCTGGATGGCCTTACCATCATTAGTGATATCATTGCTCCAATCCTCATTGAAAGCAAGTACAGTTTTTCAAAATAGTAGAGTTTGGTAAGATGGAATTTTCTCTTAGAAATTGGTAGCTCCAGCATCCTGTACCTTGAGTGAATCCTATCTAAGTTACTTCAGATATTTTCAAAATCAATACTTTCTGATACCCAGATATATTGGATGCTTTGAATCTTGGGCAAAAAAAGTTTTTAAAATTGTACAGCCTGAGTATTCCATGACACGAGTTTATCCAACTTTCAATGCACAACATTTACTTTCCAAGTAGTTCTGTAGTCAATTCAGAAAATATTTCACATTCTTTGGGTCATTTTTCTCACTGATACTTCATTGATTTAGTATCTGTTCAGTATACTAAACATTCTCCTAAGGTCTGGCACAAGCGTTGTTGTTTTGTGCATGCTCCAATGTTGGATTGCTTGCTAACTTCCTGTGTGCAAGCCTATCTTTTCTGAGTTTGCTTTGTTGAAAGAGTATACTGTCTCGAAAGCATCTTATCTTGAACCTTTTTTTTAGCTTTAATTGTTCATTTTCTTTTGATTGTTCAGGTTACATTTTCATTATCTTGTCTGACTAGAGTATTAGGATCTTAATATATTTCATTTATGTTACAGACAGTGTGCACCTCTTTTCAAGATTTTGCTTATTTTAATTAGGGTTTTTGTTTTCATCCAATCAATTATTGTTGTTGTTGCTCATATTCTGTTCCACTACATGCCCGTATTCCCTTTCACTAACAAATGATGTTCTTGCTCCAATCCTCATCTAGAGCAATTATATCTATCTAAACAGTTACCCCTCCCTCCCTACCTTTTGAGAACTGACTCTCAGTTACTTCAGTTCAAAACATCAGCTTCTTCGTAGTTTGACCATCACTTCTCTGGTTATAGCCTATTGTCTTTGATGCACCAGCCTTGGTGTGCCTTAGGTTGTTGTTGTCCTGATTGAGCCATTTAATGAAGATGATTGATTTTTACCTTGCTTTTTCCATCCTGGAAGGTTATGCAGTTTCCTCCTGGCCTTTCTTTTCATTTATTTTCTTAGCATTTCTTTAAAACAATTTTCTGTTTTCACACTTTTCAATGCATTCTATATTCTGTATCGCCAAATAAGAACCAGCTATTAGTACACTTTGTAATCAAATTTTATTTTCTTCGGTCCCCCTTTCAGGTTGAATTGGTGAGCGGATGAGGGATGGATATAAACTATTTAAGTAAAGGCATTTAATTGACACCATAAAGGTCAAAGTCCCTTTGAGTCAAGCTTGTTCTCTTGCAGAAGAGATTCTTATGGGTTGATTGGTGATAGTGGATGCTTATTATGTTAAATGCTTAAATCTCGAAAAATGCAGTTGGTAATTCACAAATGATATGGTCAGAGATGTTAGTTTTCTGTAGTATTCCTCATCACCAATATATAGCTTCAACGTTCACATCATTTTACATTACAAAGATGCCCTGTAGTCTAGTCAGAAAACATTCCACATTCTTCATGGGGTATTTTCCCTCTTACCTATGTTCGCGAATCAGTGATTTAGTATGTACTTGATTTTCATGATAGTTTCATATGAAAGTTCTTGCAAAAGTTTTCTTATTTTATGTGCATGGTTAAAGTGTTGGATTGCTGACTAGCGCCCTCAACTTGAACAGTCTATGATATCTCAAAAAGTAAATTAGTCTAGCATTGTTTTCCCTTTGAATGTCAATCACATTTCATTGTTCAGTCTAAATTTTTCATGATCTACCTGACTAGATTGATTAAGTTAAGAGATTTCATCTTTTTGTTAGATACTGTGTTCAGTCAATCAAGATTTTTGCATTATGTTATAAACATTAATCCTGTGGCTGTTGACTTTGCTGCAGATAATCCTTTCTCAAGAAAAGAACATTCAGAAACTTAATGAGCTTGTCCAGAGTCTCCGGGAACAGTTGAAGCAGTGTAGGAGTGAAAATTACATTCTCAACAGCACTGCGATCCCTTTGACTGAACATCTAAATGGAGTTTGAACAGCAACCAATATTGGAGGACCAAACATGGACCGCACACTTTTAACATTGATATGTATGGTATGTGCTTTAGACAAACCTGGTATTTCTATCTCGGCAATTTAACTTTACTAGGAGATGATCCCTGTTATTTTATCTGACTCGTATAATACAGTCATTATCCACATTTTCGTATGTTAATATTAAGTGGATTTATAAAGCCTATACCCTAGTCTTCACTATTTTGGATGAAATCTATAATATTCTGCATCCAATCTCAATTTATTCAGTGATTGAAATCTTAGTGAAAGAGGTGGGTAGATATGATGTTACTTTGGAGTACTGGTAAATACTCTATTGTTATATTGTAGTGTCACAATTAGGGCTTATTTAGTTAACTTGAGTGTTTGTCCCAGAATGTTGGATGTTAAATTGAAGGAATTATCTCTTCAGCCATTTCAACTGTATTTTATCAGATTTTATGCAACTGAGACAGATTATAGATTTTCACTTAAGTTAGTGATGGTTTCTAGAAATTTGATGCAAACATGCTTCTAAATTGGACTAACGGAGCTGATCGGTTGGTTTTAATTTGAAGCTAATGAAATGTACCATTGTCATCTAGGAGCCCTGTATTTTGCATATCTCACACAACTTCAATTACGTGGGTTTGGCATCAATACTATTTGTTGGGCTTGCATATTCCATTGTGCAATGGATCATTTTCCATTTATTATGCTCCATAGAAAGTTGATTTAGAGGTGGCTGAAAATTATTTTTGTCAGATGAGAAAATTTGAAGGCAGCATGTTTAATCTTCGTAATATTCAAATTTCAAAAACTGCATTGAACAGGAATGAATATTATAAAGTGCCCATTGAATTTAACCTTAGAGACAAACAAACATCTGACCAACCTCTGTTCCACGATGCTCAATTTGAGTTATTGTGAGATCCGAAATTTCATACCTTGTTGTTTCCTACCTCTTTTTCAATAGAAAGGAATGGCCGAACCAAGTCAGCTGTCTGGTCAATCTCAGAGATCTTATTGTCTGGCAAATTGGAGATGGCTCGATCCTGATCTTACCAGCACCAGAGGTGTACTAATCAATGAACCCCACCCCCACGCCCAAAAAAAACATGCTTTTTTGAAAAAATCAACCGTCATCAAGACATGTTGATATTGATTGAGTTTGAGGGACTTTTGCTGACTGAATTCATCTATAAACCCAGAGCCTCGTACCTTCATAACCCATTATGAAAACATTCAAAGGCACCTGTTGGATTAAAAAGTAGAGGATAATTTTGAGAGGTGCTTTAACTGATCAGATCTTGGATTTATTTTCCAATAATTATAAGTTTGAGTTTTTTTAAGGTTATTAGAAACTTATATAATCGTTAATTTTAAGACTCGTGAAATTAGTCGAGATGCATGTTGAGATGTACGCAAGCTAGTTTGAACATCCATATTAAACAAAAAAAAAAAAGGTGAGCAGAGAGCGTGCAGGAATGCCAACCACTACTTAAACCCTTCCTAGTTGAGAGAAAATGAGCCATTGTTAGGTTGTTCGAGACGTCCAAGGAGCAAGTCCTTATTAAAAAAAGCCATTGTGTGCTAGCCTAGCTAGCTAGCCTTTTTCATCTCAACTAACTATTATGTTAGGTTTAAAAAAAAAATTATTAGAAAAACATTAGCTATACTTGAATGTTGTTTTTTTTTATATTAAAAAAATTGATCTAACTCGTAAGTGGATTAAAAAGTAGAGGATAATTTTGAGAGTTACTGATCATATCTTGGATTTATTTTCCAATAATTATAAGTTTGAGTTTTTTCAAGATTATTAGAAACTTATATGATTGTTAATTTTAAAACTCGAGAAATTAATCGAGATGCATGTACACACAAACTAGTTTGAACATCCATATTAAACAAAGAAAAAAAAGATAAGTAGAGGAGCGTGTAGGAATGACAACCACTACTTAAACCCTTCCTAGTTGAGAGTTGAGAGAAAGTGAGCCATTGTTAGGTTGTTCGAGGCGTCCAAGGAGCAAGTCCTTATTAAAAAAAGTCATTGTGTGCTAGCTAGCCTTTTCATCTCAACTAATTATTATGTTAGGTTTAAAAAAAAATTATTAGAAAAACATTAACTATATTTGAATGTTTTTTTTATATTAAAAAATTGATCTGACTCATAAGCATAATATAAATAAAAAATTTAATACTTACTAAATTAGAATGTTTAAATTTTAAAAATATATTTATATCTGACATTTTGTTTGAAACTTAAATTTGATAATTTCAAGTTAATTTATTTTTGGGTTTGAAATATAATTATAAAGGTTGAATTTTATGCATGTGTATATATGAACAATAAAATTATGAAACGAGAAGCGAAAATGCTTCAAAATAAAAATATATTTTTTTAATTAAAAAATAAAATATCTATTAGAATGTAATCAACAATCTTATTTGTAACATGAAAAAAAGAAAAAAGAAGCTTTTTTTTGTCTTAGGAATGCAAGGGTACCATCCCCATTGTCAAATTCCAAGCAAGCCTTTGTGATTGAAATGTGGCAGTGCACTGGACCAGAGAATGTTCCAAGTGCTCATACACAGCCCAATCTCATAACCTTGTGTGGTCGTAGGCGCTATATGCAATATTGAATTCCTGTACATCTAGTTAAGACAATTATCTTTCATCTTTTTTTTTTCTCTTAACAATTATTGAATTCCAAACATAATTATCAAGGTTTTGATTCACACCTTTTTTTTTTCTTTTAGTTTAAATATTGGACTACCAGGTGTTTGCCCTAGAACTTTTTGTCAAGTTTCCATTTTTGTTATATTGAAATGGTTATTAATTCACCATATAATTTAAATTCAATTGATAATTTATTATAATTTTTATGTTTGGAATAAAATATTAAATAATATAACTGAATTCAATTATATTATTTGAAATAATTGAAGAAATATTGTTAAGTGGATTTAATTAAATGGTTATCTTTTTTGAAGCTTATCGTATATTTCTCAACAAAATCCAAGTAATTTCTATAAGAGTACTGCTAGGGTTTGGATGTGTCAAACCGACATATTGGAGGGCGTGTTTCCCTGCCATGTGCAAGGGAGGATACCGTCTGAGTGTCGTGTACACATCAAACATAAATTATAATTAACTCCACCCACCCCATGAACCTCCAGAAATCTTAACTGATGCAATTACACCAGTGGTTGGCAGTCAATTGAATAAAACAGTACATGCGATGGTGCGATTAATTTCAAAACCCTAGCCAGGTAGCCTTTATCCAAAATCAAGTGCTGTTTCTCATGAAGGATTGCCAGATCTCTTTTAATGCTCCATGCATAGTTCATCGCAGCTTGTTGGTTTATCGATACTTATCATGAACAGTTTGATTATTAATTATTCTTCCAAACTTCCATTCCCGTGTACTTGAAAACTTTAAGAGAAACCTTCTCGTGGAATAAGCCAGTTAGCATGAGCTAAAGCTTGCAGTGATGGTGACCATGACGGTGACAGAGGTTGTGGTGGCAAGGTTTTGGTGGTTGAAATTCTTGAATGATATTCTGAGTGCATTATTGTGGTTCATGTTTTATATAGAATTTCACAAGCTAAAAGTATTTTTTAATAAATGAAATAAATGTAAAGATAATCTCGTAAAATTATAATCTCCAAATTTAACTTTCCATTTCTATAGTTCACCATGGTTAGCTCCTCTTCTGCCATAGCTGCTTCTGTCAGGTGATAGGTATAGTCATCCTCACTTGTCTCTTGTCTCTTGTGGGTATGTGAATGTGCTTTTCATGTTATTCATTTAAATTGTAGAAGACATGATATGAAAAATAACTTGGTATACCAGTTTGTTATCAATTACCAAGCGGTAAAGTACTTCGTATTAAATAGTTTGTATAACAATGCTACGCTACGGGAGGAGACAAACTCTTGGGAATGTTAAAAAAATAAATAAATAAATCTAGGTCTTGAGAAATTTTGGAGACAAACTCTTGGGAATGTTAAAAAAAAAAAATCTAGGTCTTGAGAAATTTAATGATATTGTTATTAATATATCTTTTATTTATCCCTGGGAACACAACGTTTTTTAAAATGATAATTATTTTAGTTAAAAAATATATTTTATGAATATTAAAACAAGTTAAAAAATATCAAAATACTATGTTTATATTTTATATGCAATTAAAAGATTAAAAGATTATAAATATAATAAAATCATGTTTAGAATCCATTTGAAAATTTTAGGGACAAGAAAAATTATTTGAATTGAATTGTCATGAATGATTTATTGTTAGGATTATTATTTTCATATTGGATGCATAATAATTGAAAATGTTATTAAAATACAAATAAAAACTTATAGTATTATTTAAAAATCATATTAGAATTTAAAAACAAAATGATAAATGTTTTTCTTATTGAAAAAAATAAAGCAAAACAAAAATACAGAAAAGGACTAGGCATAGTGCCTAGCCCCTACTATTATGCTAAACGTTTGGCATTGTTTTATTTACTTTTTTATTGAGGGTACGACCCTTTATTTTTTTCTAAAATAATAAAATGAACAATACATCGTTTGTGCAACAAATAATACATTGTCTGCTTGCTCAATTTTTGAAAGCCAAAGTGATTGGAAATTTGGCAAAAATTGATCTTGTTTTTTTTTATTATTAATCAACCTATTTTGCAATTAATTTTCACGTGCACAACACATTAGAAACACCCAACGAACCCCAATACACTTATTTGTGCCCTTAAAGTAGCAAAATGTTGGATAGAAAATGAAAAATCAAACTAAGACTAGAAATCTTCCCAAGCCCCCATTTACGTTTTTCAACAAGAAGATGACCAAAAACCACATCATAAAGCACTTCTTCGTTAAATGAATTATTTTGACATGAAACTTTACCATTTTGATTGTTGGAATTGCATTAGTCGAATACCTTTTTTCTTAACTATTATATTTTGGTGAGTTTGTTTTTCATCCAAGGCTAAAAAATCACAAAAATAAATTTTAGAATCAAAATAAAAATTATAAAAATTTAGAATTAGACATGTATTAGTTCTATCTTTTATTATATAATTTTGTTTCTTTTTGTTTTTTTTGTTTTAGACATTGATCATCATTTCAAGGCTAATTTCATTCAATTAGGTTAAAGAGAGACTAGAATTAAAAAAAAATTCAAGAGTTTCACTCTCCATAACAAACCCCAAATATTGTAGTTGTTTTGGTAATGAAGCTAAA